GAGAAAAAAAGATAATCCATTTGTTTGGAAGAGAAAGCGAATCAAAGAGAGGCAAAATTAGAGAAGAGGAAACCACATGAGATACCACACAGGACAGTCCTGATCTATGTCAAAAGTCAAGGCTCAGGGCAAGATCCCTGATGAGCAAAGATGCAAAAACTTCAACAAAATATTAGCAAACCAAATCCAACCATACTTTAAAAGTATCATTCACTATGATCAAGTGGGATTTATTCCAGGGATGCAGGATGGTTCAGTATCCACAAATCAATCAACATATACATCACATTAACAAAACAAAGGATTAAAACCACATGATCATCTCAATAGATGCAGAAAAAACATTTGACAAAATTCAACATCTATTCACGATAAACTCTCAGCAAAGTGGGCTTGGCGGGAACATACCTCAACATAATAAAGGCTATACAGGATGAACCTACACCTAACATCATACTCAATGGTGAAAAAGTGGAAGCTTTTCCTCTAAGATCAGGAACAAGACAAGGATGTTCACTCTTGCCCCTTATTTTCAACATAGTACTGGAAGTCCTAGCCTCAACAATCAGACAAAAATAAATAGAAGGCATCCAAACTGGTAAGGAAAAAGTAAAACTGTCATTATTTGCAAATGACATACTATATACAGAAAACCCTGAAGACGCCACCAAAAAACTATTACACCTAATAAATGAATTCAGTAAAGCTGCAAGACACAAAACATACAGAAATCTGTTTTATAGAAACCTGCATTTCTATATACTAATAATGAAGTAGCAGAAAGAAAAATGTACGATTGCACCAAAAAGAATAAAAGAGAAATAAATTTTAAAAAATATATTTATTTATTTGTTTATTTTGAGAGAGAGACAGAGACAGAGAGAGAATGAGAGCAGGGGAGGGGGCAGAGAGAGAGAGGCAGAAAGAATCCCACGAATCCCAACACAGGGCTCGAACCCACAAACTGTGAGATTGTGACCTGAGCCGAAACCAAGAGCCAGATGCTTAACCAACTGAGCTACCCAGGAATAAATTTATTCCACCGAGGAATACATTTAAGGAAGGAAGTGTGTGTGAACAAGACTAACACCATCTTGTACAAATCCACTATGATGACCACTCTGTGACCTGAAGCCTTCTTCAGTACAGCACTACCCTCACACACATATTCTTTTTGTTTGGACACACCCTTAAGTAGACCCTTGGGGTATAAAATCCTTGAATCTTCTCTGGAGATAGGACTGTGATTCTGAAACATTTCTTCCCAGTTCTCCCAGAAATACTGCCCAATCTCCAGGGCTATAAAAGCAGGTCTTATGGGAAGTGGGTTGTGTAGATCTACTCATTTTGCAGCCACCCACAACACACTTCTGCTCATAGGTCCTTTTAATAAACCATTTATTGGCATCTGGGTTCCTCATCCTTCCTCTTCGATCTTATGTCACCTCAGGCCTTTGGGGATCATTTTGCATATATCTCCCTTTCATAAATAAGGTGAAAGACCTATACTCTACAGCCTATAAGACACCAATGAAAGAAACTGAAGACAATACAAACAAATGGAAAGATATACCACAGTCACCAACGGAAGAATATTGTTAAAATGTCTATACTACCCAAAGCAACCTACAGATTCAATGCAATCTCTATCAAAACACCAACGGCGGGGCGCCTGGGTGGCTCAGTCAGTTGAGCGTCTGACTTCAGCTCAGGTCATGATCTCATGGTTTGGTCCTTGAGTTCAAGCCTGGAGCCTGTGTCCGGCTCTGTGCTGGCAGCCCAGAGCCTGGAGCCTGCTTCAGATTCTGTGTTTCCCTCTCTCTCTGCCCATCCCCCACTCATGCCCTGTCTCTCAAAAATACATAAATGTTAAAAAAAAATTTTTTTTCAAGAACAAAACACCAATGGCATTTTCACAGAACTAGAATATAAAAATCTGAATAGAACCACAAAACACCCCAAACAGCCAAAGCAATCTTGAAAAGAAGAACAAAGCTCAAGGTAGCACAATCCCAGATTTCAAGATAAACTACAAAGTTGTAGTTATCCACTATGGTACAGTATGTACTGGCACAAAAATAGACATATAGATAAATGGAAGAGGATAGAAAGCCCAGAAAAACCCCCCACACCTATGTGGTCAATTACTCTATGATGACAAATGAGGCAAGAATATACAACGGAGAAAATACAGTCTTCAATCAATGGTGTTGGGAAAACTGGAGAGCTACATGCAAAAGAATAAAGCTGGACCACTTTCTTATATCATACACAAAAAATAAACTCAAAACGGATTAAAGACCTAAATGTGAGACCTGAAACCATAAACTCCTAGAACATAGGCAGTAATCACTTTGACATCAGCCTTGGTGACTTTCTTCTAGATAGATCTCCTCAGGCAAGGAAAACAACAGCAAAAATAAACTATCAGGACTACCCTAAAATAAAAAGCTTTTGCACAGCAAAGGAAATCATCAACAAAATGAAAAAGCAACCTACTGAATGGGAGAAGATATTTACAAATGATATTTCCGATGAGTTAATATCTAAAATATATAAAGAACTTTTACAACTCAACACCAAACCACCTCCCCACCACCAACAAACAATCCATTTAAAATAGGCAGAGGACCTGAACAGGTATCTTCCCAAGGAAGATATACAGATGGCCAACAGACGTATGAAAAGATGCTCAACATCACTAATCATCAGGGAAATACAAATCAAAACCACAATAAGGTATCACCTTACACCTGTCAGAATGGCTAGAATCAAAAAGATAAGAAATAACAAGCGTCGGGGCACCTGGGTGGCTCAGTTCGTTGAGCATCCGACTTGGGCTCAGGTCATGATCTCACAGCTTGTGAGTTCGAGCCTTGCGTCGGGCTCTGTGCTGACAGCTCAGAGCCTGGAGTCTGCTTTGGATTCTGTGTCTCCCTCTCTCTCTCTGCCCCTAACCCACTTGCATTCTGTCTCTGTCTCTCTCAAAAATAAACAAACGTTAAAAAAAAAATTTTTTTTAAAGAAGAAGTAACAAGTGTTGGCAAGGATGTAGAGAAAAAGAAACCCTACTGCACTGTTGGTGGGAATGTACACCGATGCAGCCACTGTGGAAGACGGTACAGAGGTTCCTCAAAAAATTAAAAATAGATACACTATATGATCCAGTAATTCCACTACTCGGCACTTACCCAAAGAAAACAGCACCATTAATTCAGAAAGTATGTACCCCTATGTTTACTGCAGCATTATTTACGACAGCCAAGACATGGAAGCAACCCAAGTGTCCATCAATGGGATGAATAAAGAAGATGTGGTGTGTATATATGTACACACACACACACACACACAGAGGAATGTTACTACTAAGCCATAAGAATGGGATCTTGCCATTCACGATATGGATGGACCTAGAAGGTTATTATGCTAAGTGAAATCAGTCAGAGAAAGACAAATACCATGATATCCCTTACATGTGGAATCTTAAAAAAAAAAAAAAACAAAAACCCAACACAGAAACAGACTCAAATACACAGAACTGGTGGTTGCTGGTGGGGGAGTAGGTGAAATAGGTAAAGGTATTAAGAGGTATAAACTTTGTTATAAAATAAATAAGTCATGTAGATGAAGAGTACACCACAGAGAATTTAGTCAATATTGTAATGATTTATGGTGACAGGTGGTAACTATACTTATTATGGTGGGCATTGTGTTTATACTGAAACTAACGAACACTGTATGCCAACCTCAAAAAAGAAAAAAAAAAGGTAAAGGCATTCATTCATTTTCATTCATTCACTCATTCTTCCCTTTCAGCTAATACTTTTTTAGGGCCTACTGTTGGCCTATGCTAGGCTCTGGGAATAATACAGATAATCCCTGCCCTAGCAGAGCTTAGAATATTTTGCACAGAGACAGAATTATTAACTAGGAATAAATAATAAGACACGGTGATTGGTAAGACACAGAAGTGAAGGAAAAGGGAAATCAGGAACAATATCTGATTTCTGCTTTGGGCAATTAAATAGATGGTGGAGCCATTTGCTCCTATTAAAGGTGAAGTAGGGTCAGCTGGGGATAGATGAGGATTTTCATTTTGCACATTCATTCATTCATTCATTCATTCATTCAAGAAACATTTATCAATTGAAGATGGGCAGTTAATCGAGGAGATGTGTTCAGTAGGACCCTAAATACAGAGGTCAGGAAGTGAAGGATCTTAGCAAAGAATGCCATGATTTACTCTTCTACCATGATAATACATGTATACAAATGCTTATATCAAAAGTATTATTTTTCAACAGTAAGAATTTCCTTAGTATCTATTATGTGAACACAGTGAACAAAACAGACTAAGTCTGTCCTCAATAAGTTCATATCCCAGCAATGCATGCCATGAATCCACAGTCCCACATGCATCCTCAACATGCCTGCTACAGCTGTTTTCTGCCCAAGGCTGCACCCTCACTTCTCCTTCAGGCCATGCCATGCTTCCAGGAGGTGAATGATTACAACTGGATATACTGCTTCAAGAAGGAAATTTTGCTGATCATAGGGACAGAAATAAGGACACTTCAATTCTGACTCCTGGATTCTTTCCTTAAGCTGTGTCCTTGGGATGGATACTGTGCTAAGTATGATACGTAATCTCTTTTTTCTGTCTCAAGCAGATTAAAAAAGGGCATAACTTTAAGTAAAACCAGATTATTAGACAGCTATGAAATCATCTTCAATAGAACCTGGCTACTTGGCCCTGCAGCACTGCTCCTAAACTTGCCCCTCACAATAATGTGCACACACTGAACACAGACTCTTGAAAGCTGAGACTCTGGTAAGCAGATGGAGTGAAAATGGAAGTGCTTAGTGAGAAATCATATGTAAATGACAAATAAGTTAACAATTATATAAAATGAAAGTAAGTCGTCCAGAAATCAAAAGCAAAATTTTGAATTGATTCTCTAAATGGGAAATAGCCTGAGTCCTCTTATGTGAAAACCTACCTCTCACCATTAGGTCCCACTCTGTTGATTAATTTTTCCATGGCTTCCTCAGTCTCCTTCAGTTTTTCTTGCAGTTGAACAAGCTCAAAGTTGGCTGAAAAACAAGCATCACTCTTAAGAACCAATCATACACAACCTCCAAAGCTCTTTTCTGAAACTGGCTGGCTGGGACGCCCCACCCTACTGGTATTCCACCTGGTTGTGAAATTCAGAATAGAGGCTCCGAGTCCCTCCAGCTGGTCCCATCAGGACACAAAGGGTCTCACAAAGAGGTGAGACGTCAAGGATTCGTGTTTAGGGAGTAATGAACAAATCACTCTCTTACACACAGAAACACAGCAGACCCAGCTAAAGAAAATACCTGGGAGTGAAAAAAATACCCCTACATGGTCACCCAAGAAGAAATGAAGAAGATAAACATAGTCCTTCTAATCCAAGTGATGCTGGGGGTTAAAGTACCAAACCTGCAAGGTCCTTCAGAAAAGGAGTTAAGACCCTGAAAAGAGCAATATTTCACCTGCACCCAAAGTTTGAAAACCTATCTAGAAGATAATGGTTTAAATATTATGCTTCTTCAGTAAGGGAAGTCTTGAGCTAGGGCTGAAACCTCCCTGCCCAAGGTTTCCAAACGACTCCTTTGGGGTGAAATGGTGTAACCGTGGCTCCCAATATTCTCAATAAAGTTCAACAGAGACCACATCTATCTACCAAAATTAACATTAAGACCCTAAAAGTAAATCAGAAAAAAATAAGTCAATGAGTACACGAAATGAACTTTAAGGCAGCAGGAAAATAAAATGCTGTTTATTATGCAGACAATCCAGTTTTTCTGTTTCATACATGAGTACCCTTCTACTGAGATATATTTAGGAGGTCACTGTAAAATATAGTATCTCAAAGGCCTTTTAATACTTCTAAAACAAATTCTTATACATGCAGTTAACATCTGAAAAGTGTCTAGAGAACTGTGCCATGTAAATGTTCATTTTTATTTTCTGCATGATTCAAAATTGAAAAATAAAAAGTAGATATAACTGCTACATTTTAAAACAGCTGCTCTCAGGAATTCATTTTATTTACTTTTGTTTTAACTGAAACATGTGACTGGATACAGAATTTGCTGCTCTTTTCAAAATTATTTTTCTGATGCATTTACCATCACTGTTGGTTAGATGTTATCACAAAAGCTTTCTTAAAGGATTCCTTGAATATTTAAGATTTCTAAAAAGGATGCAGACTGTGACTGGGGTATCTACTTCCACAGAGAATCTAGAGTAAATCTAAAAAGAAGTTACATCGGAGGGCAGAGGCTTCAGTGGCTCAGCCTCCTTTCATTTTGCTTCTTTCTTTTAAAAACTCCTGATGAGGCTTCATTATCCACAGGATAAAGCAGTTTGGCCTCCAAACCTGCAACAATATGGCATAACCTACCTAACTCTTCAGGCCTTCTTTCCTACAGCCGTCTTATATCAGGTTGGGTCTTCCTCAAGTCATCTCATCTATCAAACAGGACCCAGCTCGAGATCATTCCCTGCAAGGCTTTTGCCAAATCCATTCCAGATAGTAAACTTTTCACAAGTTATTTTTCCTAACCTCCATCCCAGACTCTGAATTATTAGAAGGGAGAGCCATGCCATATACACTTCATTTCCCCAGAGAGCACAGAATATTCTACTTGGTCAGTAAACATATGATGACCGTGTCTCATGAGTCAGAAGGGTTAAACTCTGTCCCTAGATCTCACAACTGATTTTGGCAATGGCTTGATCTCTCTTCCTTAGTTTTCCTCTCTGTGAAATAAAGATATCTGCTACCAATATTCTAAAGTCTGGAAATGAGAAGTAACCCATTCCAAATGTGCATTATTAATTTGCTAATATAAAAAAGTAAACTGACAGTTTTGTACTTTTCATAACTCTTTCTCTTAAAAGCCCAACGTCAATATGGAAACTTGAGAATTTTCAGAGCTTAGGTAAAAATGGCATCAGATTAATTTGGGGCAATTTCTGAGAAATGCTTTAAAGAAATATCCACAGACTGTTCCTCTGGCTAAATTATGGTGGTCTGACTCAATAAAACTTGTCCACCTACTGAAAAGGAGCACTTACTAATTTTCCTGTGGGTGTTTCCAGCTGTGGCAGTAGAGCATTTCCGATCCTCTGCAGGAGTTTTCCCCTTTGAAAGCTGAGAATTGAAGGAGGTACAGCACATCAACAGCAGCTTAGAAACTCAAAGTCATGGAACTCCTCATATTAAATGAAAAAAGAAAAGGTTGGGAGACAAAAACTAAGTCGGAAATCAAACGGCAATATTAGAGAAACATCTCAAAAAAAAAAAAAAAAAAAAAAAAAAAAAAAAAAAAAAAAAAAAAAAAAAACAGTAGAGAGAGAGCCAATAGAAGGTTCCCAAGTGAAAAACCATCAATGCACAAGAAAGGAAAGAGAGGAAAGAGAGGAAAGAAAGAAAGAAAGAAAATCAATCAATCTCTTTCCAGGTCATCTGCCTTGCCCACACTCATCTAAAAAGGGGATGTGTAGCCCTCGGGGATGTTCTTACAGAGGCAACTCGGGCCCCCTGCAGAGTTCCTGGGCAAGAAGGAACTCACCTCTTACTCTGGTTAGAGGGGCACAGTGAATATTTAAGATTTCCCAAAAGGATGCAGAACGTGACTTCTGCTCCACTTCACGGTCTCTAGGCCCATAACCTGCTGAGGCCTGCCTGGAGGTGGAACTTAATTGGGAATCTGTTTTTAAAGGACCCAAACCATGTCTCCCTAGAGCTAGGAAACAGCAGGCTTAGTTTCAGGATGTGGCAGTTTTGTTTCAGAATTACTGCAGAGGATGTTAAAAACAGCACCTCATACTCCTAGAAGGGGAAAGAAGGACAAAGTGGTGTTGGTACGGTCATTATTTGGCCTCACAGTGGCTGCTTGGAAATCATTGTGCTAATCCTAATGACGAAGGTCTTCTTAGAATATCTTTATGCCTTTTCAGCTTGCAAAGATACCCAATAAAAAAAATTAGGGTGGGAGAGGCCTTTGAACTTTATTGCTCACTGTATTAGCAACTAGAAGACCCAAGTTCAAGTCCGGATTCTGCATTTCTAGTTGTGAATTCTAGGGCATACTGTTTAAACTCTGAGAGAAGATTTTCTCTTCTATAAAACTGGAATAACAGTTATCCTAAGTACCTCATAAAGAGGAAGCAAGGCTTAAAGATGATTTTAATAAAGGTTATGAACTGTAAAGAGTTCTAATACCAACAATGATTTTTACTATGATATTGAATTTTACTGATATAATATGATCGAGAGGATTCCACTTACCTTAAATAGAATATATAGTATATATAAAAAAATCCCAAAACCATAGATTGGAATAATCTGTCCCATCAGGCCTCTTCCACTACCTCCTCCTCCAGTGCCTCCACCTGATCCTTTGGCCTTTGCAAATGCCTCTGCGAGGTGAGACCTCTGGAAACGAGCCCCAAGGGTCTGGCCATCTGAGGGTGGCTGGTGATGATGCATCATAGGTGGAAATCGACCCAACTTTCCTGAGAAAATAATCAGTATTTATGTCTTCTACTATTTTAAATATTGCTATTATGAAAATACTTCATGCACTAAGGCATAACAGAAGCCAACTCAAGTTTAAGAAAAAACAGAAACTTGATTATAAGGATACAGAGGTATCACACAGAAAATAAACATAATGTGGCAATCTCTAGCCGCTCACCCAAACCCATTTTCCCTTCCTTTCTAGGCCCATAGCTTGGTAACATTTTTCAGCTTCCCATACAGTTAAAGGAAGCCATGTGACAGACGTCCGACCAGAGGAATGTGAGTGATATGTGCTGGTTCAAGGCCTGGCCTATAAAACTTTCCATGTATTAAATTCCACATTCATTTCCCTTCTGCAGGCTTCATGCTGATACCTAGGGAGACCTCTGAAGTCATGTGATGAAAATGACAAAGCTTCCTTCCATCAATCTAGGTTCATGAATAACTGGGTGACACAGAGCCCTCCAGGGCTACCACCCCACCAACTTAGAACCATCTGGACTTGTTTACGTGAGTAAGAAATCAACTTCAATCGTGTTACAGCCATTATACACTTTGGAGTCTGTCACAGCAGTTAGCCACCACCAACTACTACAGAAAAGGAAATGTGATCTGGTCTCAGAAGAGAGAACCCAAACTGGAAAGCCGGAAAGCCATCAGGATCTGGGACAGCTACTCTCACATTCCACTTCAATCTCCCTTTTTATGGGGCCATGAGGCTTTTTTTTTTTTCCCCTGTGTTTCTCTGTGCGGATCTTTTTCATTCTCCCTTCTGTGGAGACCATTTCTTTAGCTTCTTTGTGAACACAGAGGAAGAGAGTCACCCCCAAGCCCCTCAATTTGCAGATCCTTCAAGAGGCCAGCACAGACTCGTCACAGTCCCAAATTCCCTGGAGGAAGATTTTGAACACTCAGCTTGGGTAGGTATGCATCCCTTTCCAATCAGCTATAACTGAGCAGACAGGATTCATGTGGCACAAAAACAGGGTCACAGGGTTCCATGAGTGGAAGCACAGAGCTTGGAGAAAGGAGTGTGCATCAATGTTCTTCCATTTTTTTCCTCCATCAGGGGCAAACATTAACATCAACTGCCAAGCTCCTGAGAGCCATAGATGAGAAAGGTAAGTCCTTTCTTCAAAAGGCCACATAAACAAGCTTGTGTGGGAAAAACCAACAGGAGCTAACGCTACAGAGCAGAAAACACTAGAGAACAGAAAGACTTCATAAATCAGACTGTAAAAATACAAACTACAATACTGTTGGACTTGATTTTAACAAAATTACAGATTTCTGTTCGATAAAGACCACCACAGAGTTAAAATAGATGACAGACAAGGAAAAGCTTATGCAACATCTACAATTGACAAGAGATTAAATATTTAAAATAGACGTGGAATTTCTACAATGTGTTATTAAAAAAATCCTAAGAAACCCAATAGAAAGCACCTACAGAAAGAGAAGCTTAAAGGATTAGCAAGTAAATAAAGAGATGATCAAATTCAAAGAAAACCCAATGAGTAAAATACAAATTAAAACAATGAGATTGCACTGTTCACACCAATCAGAAGGGCAAAAATTAGAATGGTGGATAACAGCAAAGGTTGGCAAAGGTGGGGAAGAACTCTCATGCTCTGTAACAAGGTAAACAGATCTAACCATTTTGCTAAGAGATCTTAGTGACATGAAGTACTTAGTGACATCAAGTATATCTATGTCCTATGTGATCCAGTGATCCCACTCTGGTGGGTAAATTCCAGAGGAATTCTGGATGGTCTATATGCAAATTACAGACTTTATAGAGCTGTGTGAGAATTTGCTGGGATGATAATGTAGCAGGGATCTTAAAGTCACTTTGATTTTGATAATTAGAAGAATGGAAAATCAAAGTGAAGTGGATACAAATACGGAATTCTATGTAGCTTTTAGAAATCACACTTCAGACGACTTCAGACGTACCTACAGCAACATGAACATCTTAAAAAGCACAAAATTGAGTAAAAAATAAGCAAATACCATTATGTAAGCTGATGGCATCATAATTATACTACATATGCCCTACATATATACTACATATTTTAGCAAATATGTAAGTGTAAGGACATAAAACACAGAATGGACACATATAAATGAGGAAGGGAATGGCTATATGGACTGAAGATAAAGAGTTAAAAAGAAAAGAATAAGAAAGGAAATTTGCACTCCTGATGTCAAAAAGCTGCTATCAACTGATGACTATCTTTAAGTCAACTGTGCTCCTGAGGCTAGAAAGAAGGTGGGTGGCCAGGTAGAGAGGTAAGACAGCTAGCCACTAGGTTTGGAAGCTGCCATCTGCCTTGTATCCTCTCTCAGCCTACTCCACTCCAATGGTCCTGCTTTCCCTCCCAATACTGACTTTGGAGGACATAAAAATTATGCCAGAAATGCTTTTTAAGAGTAGGTCAGCAACAGAAGCAGAGCTTCAGACAGTAGAGCGAAGCCAGGTTAACACTCCGTATTCTGAGTGCTGGTGACTATGTAGCTATTAAATTGTCAAGGATCTTAATATATTAAGTGGTGAGTAATGGCTCTAAGGCTATAATACACCTTCAAAAAATGCCTAGCCAGTATTCAAGAAGCTAACCATTCTCTTGAGAGAATCTGATTTATCAGATGGCTAGTGTTCAATATACTAGATTTAGTAATTGTGGTAATACCTTGTTGAACTTCATTTTACTGTACTGAGAACACAGGCTTCAAAACTTCATATAAAGCAAAAAACATTAAAATCAGGTAATAGCACAAAAGGCATTATTTTGCATTTCTAAAATTGAAAAATGATGACAATGCTGTACACTGTACATCTCTCCCCAAAACCTTTATAGTCTGTCAGCCAGGAAGATACTGCTACTGGGCAGCTATTATGTTCAGTAGGTAGGAGAGAGCCCGTACATATAATAAACAACAGTCACACATTGAACAATGCTTTTAAAAAGCAGTATATTCAAAACAAACACCACCACAAAAGGATAGGGTATCATGGACCTCATTACTAGACAAACTAAATGTCTAAGCATTAAAAGAATGCAAAAGAAAAAATAAAAAGGAGTCAAAGGGGATCAATCGTTGAAGAGAATGAGACACAGAATAGCAGAGAAGCAGAACAGGAGGAAAGAAGAACACCTCCAACAATAAAGAGAGGAGAACAAAGAAATAAGAACAAAGAATAAATAAGGCTAACTACCAAATTAGTTTGGCTCCATCTGGGGAAGTAACAAGAGATGAGAGGGAAGTGGAGGGGGAGGGTTTACATGCTAACTTGTGGTGTATAAATTTGGTAACTGTGGGTCTAAGATCAAGGAAATGACTTAATGAGAAGTGTGTCTGAGAGGGATTAAATCTAGCATTTGAGTATAGGGCCTAATGCAGGGAGAAACTAGGGTGTGAGAAATCAGCAAGAAGGCAGTAATTAAGCTCTGAGATGCAAGGGCCTAAGGTGCTGGCTACAGCTATAAAGAGGAAGGAATAAGTCCAAGGGCTCTTAGAATGAAGTGATCAGCAGCATTTAATATTGAAAAGAACAAAGAGCTAATGAGGGAAGAGGTCAGAAAACTCCAAGATTAGGAGTTTAATATATGAAGAGAAGAATGAAAACCACGGGTGGGTTTATGGCAAGGGGAAGACTGGGTACACGTTTTTCACACACTAAGTTCCAGGTGTTGGTGGCACATTCAGAAGAAATTGTTATTGGACCACAGTTAGGCTTGAGAAGAAACTCTAAACTACCTAAATGAAAAAGCTAATTAAAAGATTAAGTGAGTGAATTATTCCCATACTAAAAGTGTTGGTGGGATAGGTGTACTTAGGTGCAACAAGAGTAAGAAAAGACAATGGAGCTGTCAAAGAAGACTAGAAGCAAACCAGTTTCCTTAAAAACAAAACAAAACAAAAAAACAAAGAAGAACTGAAAGCAACAGAGAAGTCTAGAAGAAACTGATAAAAGACTAATGGCAACCCCCATTTTTAGACACAGTGTATCCTCGGGAGAAAGGATGGCTACTGTATGAAATCTTGACTGTCCACCTATTTAGACAATAACAGAAACCAATATACTACAAAGCATCATACAATCTGCAGAGTCAGAAGGAGTCTTAAAAATCATCTTCAGTCTTTTCAACAAATGGTATGGAGACAAATAGATATCCACCTGCAAAAGAGTAAAGTTGGACCCCTACTTCACACTATTTTTAAAAATTAACTCAAAATTGATTAAAGACCTAAATGTGAGAAAACTATACCACTCTTAGAAGAAAACATAGACCTAAATCTTTGTGACCTTGGATTAGGTTTCTTAGACAGGACACCAAAACCACAAGCAAACAAAGAAAAAATAGGCAAACTGGACTTCATCAATTTAAAACTTTTGTGCTACAAAGGATACCATCAAAAAAGTAAAGACAAAACACTGAATGGGAACAAATATTTGTAAAACACAGATCTGATAAGCTTCTAGTATCCGAAATATATAAATAACTCTTACCACTCAATAAGAAATAATCCAATCAAAAATAGTCAAAGGCTCTTAATAGACATTTCTCCAAAGAAGATATAGAAATGGCCAATAAGCACACGAGAAGATGTTCACCACCACTAGTCATCAAGGAAATGCAAATTAAACCCACAATTAGATTCACTACATTACACCCATTAAGATGCTATAATCAAAAAACAGATAATAGAGGCACCTGGGTGACTCAGTTGGTTAAGCGTCCAACTTTGGCTCAGGTCATGATCTCGCCATTCACAAGTTTGAGCCCCACACTGGGCTCTGTGCTGACAGCTCAGAGCCTGAAGCCTGCTTTGGATTCTGTGTGTGTGTGTCTCTCTCTCTGCCCCTCCCCTGCTCACACTCTGTCTGTCTCTCTCTCAAAAATAAACATTAAAAAAAACCCAGATAATAAAGTGTTGGCAAGGATGTGAGGAAAACTGAACTCTCATACTCTGCTGATGCGACTGT